CCCGCCGTAGCGGCCGTGGCTCTAGAGGCACCCCTGCTTGGTTGTGGTGGTCCATGTCCGGGTGGGTGTCTGTGCTCATGCTTTCAGGCACCCCAGTGTCAATCTCCTCCTCCTCTTTGCTGGTGAGCGCCACTTCGTTCTCGTAGCAAAAGGAGTTTGCGTTAGAGAGGATGTATTTCTTTTCTGCTAAGTCTCTGGCACTACAAATGGGTGTGTTGGGCACTTCATATGTTTTGTGGAACCTGGAGTAGTCCACTTTGTAGTAGTTTTTCTCTTCAAAGAGTACAGGCTCGTAGCGGTGGCCCCAGAGGATTTCATTCGCCAGATAGGAGCTACGGCACTGAGTAGTCATGGCAGTAGCTTCCACCATGCCCTCTAATATTACTACAATTTCAAAGTCAGCGTTGTCCATGTCTTGTTTGCTCAAGTCATACAAAGGACTGTCTTCATCTATTTCATGTACTATTGTAATCGGGGAGACCAGGAATATGCGGTCTATCCCGCTGTCAAACCCTACGTTGATGTCTATTTGATCCAGAGGGATGTACTCCCCTTCTGACGTGATCCTGGATTTGAGGAGCTGCGCTCGCACATGCGCCTCCACCAAGTGGCTTTTCCTCAGGTTTCCAACACGCCACATCAGGCAGAGTTTTCCGTCTCTCATGGCCACCACGGCATTGTGGCTGAAGACTAGAGTTTCGTTTCTCTTTTTTGGCTTAGCCATCTTTGCCATGACAGCACCAATGATGAAGGCATCAATGATGCAGCCTACGATGGACTGGAAAACCACCATGAAAACTGCGATGGGGCACTCGTCTGTGACACACCTGAAGCCGTAGCCGATCGTCGTCTGGGTCTCAATGGAGAACAGGAAGGCTGCGGTGAAGCTGCTCACTTCAGAGACACAAGGTTTGTTATTTTCTTGATTCTCCAGATCCCCATGCAACAGCGCAATCAACCAAAACACGCAGCCAAAAAAAAGCCAGGAGAGGATAAAAGTCAGGCAGAAGATAACTAGCATCCACCTCCAGCGGATGTCCACGCAAGTGGTGAAGATGTCTGCCAGGTATCGCTGTCCCTTCTCACCCACGTTAATAAACTGGACGTTGCAGTGGCCATCTTTTTTGACAAAGCGGCTCCTGCACTGCTGTCTGGTATGTACCTTACTCTTTCCATTCCCAAATCCGTTGGCAACAGCCATGGTTGCCAGCTTCATGCCGTCCTCTTCCGAAGACACGATGCTGTAGCGGTTGGTTCGCACGCTGCCCATCACTACTGCTGTGGACTGAGGTGCTTCTGCTTTAGAAAACAGTCTGAGTTTCTGCAAAACCCTTTGGAGAAACAGTTTTGAAAGTTCTAGAGGAACACACACACACAGAAAAACTGGGGAGAGGCCGGAGTCCCCAAAAGCCCTTGGATCAACCAAGGACAGTCTTCTGGCATGCAGCGTTAGCTTAACAAGCAACCGTCATAGAGAGGGCATGGTCTGCAAGAGAAAGAAAAACGTCCCGTTAGATCCTGGAGGAAAAGGATAAGGAATCAAACATGAAAGAATCAAGTAAAATGACTCCTGCAGACCTGCAGGAAGTTTTCTTCTTCTTAACGACAGCATTTTCTGGAATGCATAATGTGCACAGTGGCGTATTGACAGAGATGACGTCGTTACTACAAAGGCGGTATCCCTCTTCCCGAGGGAAAACACTGCAGTGATCACATCGCACAAGTCTCTAAGCAAGATTCACTTTAAAGCTGGACATGCAAAGAATCGATCTACTATTTACAACTGTGCTTTCTGTTTATTTTGAAACAAACAATCAGCACTGACATCCATCTGTTCAAATAGAAATCCTGAAGCGGGTTTTCGTGACTTACGACGCGTGTCTCCTGGACTGATTTGCCTACGACAAACAAGGGAGCGTACAAAAGGGCAGATGATTTGTACTGAGAAAAGCAATAAACTTGGAAAATGCAAATGTCGGTAATTCCAATGAAATTACATTGCATATAGCTGCTTTTTTTTTTTAATTAAGCTGAAAAAAGGAGTTGTGTATTCTCTGCAAATGGCATGAATATTGGCTGTATTAGTTACTCCAACTCCACAAACTGCTTAGGGTCTGTGCAGTTTTTACACCCACATTAGGCTTAAGTTCTAGGAAGGAAACTAAACCTTAGGAGAATCCTCCTCTGCTGCTGCTCATGCCTCTAGCAACAGCCAAGATGGAGTAGGACCGGCTGAGTGTCTTCACAACACCTTTGGTAGCAAGTACCAGCTCCTTCCCATCAGGAGCCCGAGGCAGCCAGCTCCGTCTCCAACGGGTAACGGTTCTGAGTGTCCCGTGGGTCTTAAATGTCAGCAATTAAGACTCAGCAGAGAGGCTACAAAACCTTCTTCCTGAGGGTAGAAGCCACCAAACTTGTTTCAGGGAGGTCTGGCTTAGACCCAGGTTTAGCTTTTAGCAAGTGCGTCATCCATGAAGTCATGTACTGGGTATCAGGAAATGTGATTGAAATACTGCAGAGGAGAAGAGGTGCATTAATGCAACTGCTCCATCCACACGTGCACCCCACCGAGGAAATAAAACTGAACCCAGGCGATGAGGAATGTCTGCTGCCCATTTGTCAGGGGAGACTTCAGTACCGTCCACAGTAGCAGGGGATTAAATCATGACACTCCTCATAAGTCAGTATTACCCAGACTCATCTGAGTTTGTCCAAAACCCAACAAAACTGCAGCTGCCAAGGAGCACCACCTCTCCCATGAAGCAGCTGCAGTATTCTGTGGCTCTTCCTCTGACTCGTACCTGACAACAGCTGTAGGCAAGAGTTTATCTCCTTTCCCAAAAGCAGCCCCTAAAGCCCTGCAGAGGTGTTCCAAAAACTTGAGGGATTTGAAACAGTTTCTCAGCCCTCCCACATCCTTCAAGCACATTACAAGGGCATGAGGTCAGCCAACACTTGTTAGGAAAAGAGCAGGTGACAAACAGAAAACAACATTGCGCTCCCAGTTGCATGCAAGCTGGTTTTCCCTCCAGAGTCTCTTTAGGGTTTACTTCTACCTTCTCTTTTTTTCCCCCCACTTCTGTTTGTTGTGCAGGAATGTGTCCCAGCACCTACTTGCCGAGATTAGTCATCTGTGACTGCAGCGGCGTACAATTTGGCAGGTTTTGATAGGTTCAGTTTTGTGTACGGCTCCCAGCAATGTAATTTCGGGATGGCACAGCTGCCCTCTTACCTGGCTCTCCTGCCTACACCGTGTAAGGATTCATTTTTACCTCCTCACACCTTTTTGATCACGGGGTTTCTCATTCCCACCAGGGTATAATTCTCAAAAATACAAAGGTTTTTCACTTTTTTTTTTTTGGCAGAAGAGTACTCTTGTTAGAAGCCTGAACACAAGGGGGAAGCGAAATTACTGTTAATCCATTCCATGCAAAAAAACTTCTTAAAAAACCACCGCATTGCTCTGCAAATCGATCACTTTCATAAACCACATCCTATAATCACAGCCATGTTCAACTTCCACCTTCAAAGTCTGTTTTGTTCCAAGCTGATGGAAACACAAAGCCTAGGAAACAGTTTATTCTGGACCTTTTTTTTTTTACACACACACACACACACCCTCCCTCCTTTCCTGCTTTGTCTCTTGGATTTTAGAGGAAAACTTGTGGTGGATGGGAAGATAAGCTGTAAAGTCTCTAGTGTCTGAACATGCAGCTCTCCCCACGAAAGTCTTGACCCGAGGACATTTGTTTGAATTCCACAAATCACTGAAATTGTTAATACCAGCTTCCTGCATTTAGAAGTTTGGGACCCAAATTAGGTATCGTATGTTGCCATATTCCCACTCTGAATGGCTGAGCACCTTCTACCTACTGTACCCTGCACAGCATCTCTCCTTCCTACCTGCACGCCGTCAGTGCTCTGCCCTTGGGAGCGGACCCGCTCCAATTTGGGCTCTAACAGTCCTTAAACAAGGAGTTGAGGTATGCCACCTTCACGGACGATCTGAAGTTTATACAACAGAGCTCTGGCATGCTCCACCGCAGCATAGTTGTCTTTCTTTTAGAGCACAACTCGCTCTCTTCCTTGCGAGTGCTTGGAGCAGGGAGGATGCCGGGATGGGAGCACAACCAGCAGCGTGCGCAGGGACCAGCCAGTGCAAGCAGCGGGTCTGATCTTGTTCCCACTCGTGTCAGAGCAGGTCCTGCCAGATGCCCGGTAAATCCACGGGCTGCCTGATCGCTTCTTCACCCTGACTTTCTAACTAGTTTCCCAGAAACAATCAAACCAGCATGAAAATCTTCACCCTGACTTTCTAACTAGTTTCCCAGAAACAATCAAACCAGCATGAAAATCTAAAGGTGCTGCTTATTTTGCTAATCCACCCGCTGCTCAAAGGCAAAGCAAGTGTGGTCCCTCCCCCACACACCCTGTTGTCAGTTGGTGGCACCAAAGATGCCAAGTTAGTGTGGAAACAGCCCTACAGTCCTCACCAAAGAAACCAACCCAGAATCCACAAACCAACCCCAATCCTTGTGTAATTGGGCCCAACGCACTGCACCAGACACACGTGCAGCTGTGAATTCAGGCATCACGAGGGGGGTTATTAATCCGGGCTACCTCTCCTCCCGGGAGAGAGCGCGAGACCAGCGCTGCAGCTTGTTCCCAGCGCTGGCACCGACGCGGAGTTCCCGGGGAGGGATGAGATGGGTGGGAGAGCCCTGGGCTTGCGCTGCCGTGCCGGGATGCTTGGAGGAGCAGGGAAGAACGGGGCTGTGCTGCATTCACAGCATTTCTGAACCAACACTTGTGCAAATGCCACGATGGGGAGCCCAGACCCCGACTTTCCCCTTCGCCA